GCTGGGACGCCTGGGCGTATCCATGGCTCCCCTGTTAACCAGGTTACGAAAAATGTAGAAAGCAAACCTGCAAGCAAGGTGGCACCTGTGGCTCAAAGGAGTAGGTTGCCAGCCCCATATACCAGAGGTGGTGGGTTCAAACCCAGCCCCAGCCAAAAACTGCAAAAAAAAAAAAAAAACCTGCAAGCAAGAAACCCCTCTCCTTTGGGGGGCAGGTAAAAGCATGGTCAGGTCTGTTTCTCTGCTTCATGGTGAGAAGTCCTTACAAACCTGAGGCAAATGTTTGCCTCCATTTTCAAGTAGGGAGTTTCTCAGGGGAGTACTGACCCATGACCTCTGAGTGTGTAACAGCACCCCATGAGATCCCTGGGCCTGACTAGTTCTTTCTGGGCATAGGCCTGATGGCAGCATATATAAACCTCCCATAATTAAGCCCACTCCTTTCTGGTCCTGTGCAGGGACACAGGCTTAAAGCTTTATTGTCCCTTTGTTTGTACCAAGCATCACGCTGACATTGGGGATTTGATGATGAACAAGGATCCTGAGTTAGAAACCCAGTATCTAATTCTCCCTGACTGGCTTCTTAGCCCTCTTCACTCTCTGGATCTCCCAGCTGGGAGCTGCTGGCAAAGAAGTTGCCCCTCTGTTGGTGGCACTCAGAGCCTGAGGCCTGCACTGGGTCACACTGAGCAGAGTTCCTCAGGGTGCACACTGGGCCATCCTAGGGTTAGAGAGCCCGGTTGAGGGAAATGGGACACATTTTCAAGGTGAGCCACAGGCCATCATCAATACATGTGGTGACCTGCTCACTTTCTACCCCTAAGTCTACAATAACCCTGAACATTTGCAGGATATAGCCATACTGTTAAATTGTTTCAGGAAGGAAAGGGCAGTCATCCCTCTGCAGAGGAACAGAGTGAGCATAGAGCTAGCTGGGGTGGTACCCTGGCTCAAATCCCAACTCAGGTCATCCCGGCAAGTGGGGTGTGAGGACCTGGATAAGAGGATATCATGATTTTTACCTGAGGGAGACATTTCATGAATCCAGAGGAGTGGGTAAAAACAGGAGGTAAATGGATCCAGGCCACTGAAAGGATGTTCCCCTGGCAGGAGGTAGAATACCAGGACGGCAAAGGCAAGAAAGTTTGTATTAACCGAGTACATGGGCTTCAAGCCTCCCCTGATCACAGGACAAAT